CAACTCAGTGTTTTTAAAAATTTTTTACAGATATGTGCAACCATCACCATGGTCAATTTCAAAAGGTTTTCAGAGCCTCAAAAAGGAATCGCACCCATTTAACCCCTATCTACCACCACCCCACCTCAGCCTACGCAACCACTAATCTACTTTCAGCATATGCAGATTTGCCTATTCTGGCCATTTCATATAAATAGAATCATATAATATGTGGATTTTCGTAACTGGCTTCTTTCATTTTTCAAGGGTCAGTCAAGCTATACATAGCATGTATCTGTACTTCAATCCTTTTTTATGGATGAATAATATTCCATTGTACATATATACCCATTTGTTTCTCCATTTGGGATGTGAATACCAGGAAGCAAGGCTCACTGGGGCCATCTTGGAGGCTGCCTATCACATGGGGCATTTATTCATCCATCCCCACCCTTCTGTAGGAGAGTTCTTCCTGGGGAGTTAAGTCCCTGACACTTCTGACCTAAACCTGAACATCCTGAAGACACTATCATGCAGAAGAATGCCTTCAGGCAGACAGAGATTCAGGAAACTGTTAGTGCGTAGTTGCTGTATTTGCAGATGCTTACAAGAGATAAGAGCAGGGTGCTGATTTGGTCTGTTATGGTGATTAAACCCATCCCACATCAGGTCTCCTGTATCCTCCTTCCTTGCTGAAAGGTCCACTGCCACCTAACACTTGCCCTCATTTGAACATCCCTCCCCTCCCCTGCCTGACCATTCTTATCTGTTCCTCCCTTAGCTGATCAACAGCTATTTCAGCAGATTCCACAGGCTTCTTTAAATACTTAATTGATTGGTGGCTCAGACGGTAAAGCGTCCGCCTACAATGTGGGAGACCCAGGTTCAATCCCTGGGTCAGGAAGATCTCTTGGAGAAGGAAACGGCAACCCACTCCAGTATTCTTGCCTGGAAAATCCCATGGACAGAGGAGCCTGGTAGGCTACAGTCCATGGGGTTTCAAAGAGTCGGACACGACTGAGCAACTTCATTTCACTTCACTTCAAGCAATATACATTGCTGAAAATACAAACAACACAAAAATATATTACTAGGAAGTAGAAGTCCCTTATAATCTCACTGTAGAAATGATCACTGTTGCTTGATTGACACATGTTCTTCAACAATTTTCTGGGCATAAAAATCCCACCTAAGTGGGACTTCCCTGGTGGTCCAGGGGTTAAGAATCTGCCTTCCAGTGCAGGGGATGTGGGTTCGATCCCTGTTCGGGAAAATAAGACCCCATATACTGCAGGTCTACGGAGACCTTGTGACAAAACTAGAGAGCTTGTGTTCTCCAAGTAAGAGTTGATACAGCCAAAATAAATAAAACTGAAGGCAAAATTCAAATTATTAAAAAAAAATTTTTTTTTAATCCCACCTACTTAAAAAAAAAAAGTAAAAACCACCTAGTCATTTACATGCCTGGGATTTAACCCTCCCTGCTATTATGTTCCTTACAGGTTTCTCTTGGCAACATATCTTGCCTGGGTGCCTCTCTAGGACAACATGTGTAGATCAGCCTCCATTTTTCACATGCATGCACAGTGCTACTTAATATGCATGTCCCACCAATTGTTTTCCCATCCCCTATTGATAGAGAATTGATGCTTTTGAACTGTGGTGTTGGAGAAGACTCTTGAGAGTCCCTTGGACTGCAAGGAGATCCACCCAGTCCATCCTAAAGGTAATCAGTCCTGAATATTCATTGGAAGGACTGATGTTAAAGCTGAAGCTCCAATACTTTGGCCACCTGATGCGAGAGCTGACTCATTTGAAAAGACCCTGATGCTGGGAAGATTGAGGGCAGGAGGATAAGGGGACGACAGAGGATGAGATGTCTGGGTGGCATCACAAACTCAATGGACATCAGTTTGAGTAAACTCAGGGAGTTAGTGATGGACAGGGAGGCCTGGCATGCTGCAGTCCTTGGGGTCACAAAGAGTCGGACACGACTGAGCGATTGAACTGATTGATGGAGGTAGCAGATGCCTTTGGGGCCCTCTGTCGTCTCCCCTAACGTGACTCTGATTTCAGCCTCACTGGGGAGGGTGGGGGCCCCCCGCTCAGGCACAGGCCTTGCCTTGTCCACTTTCTGCTCCAAGACCTTCTCTGACACACAGGAGTCCTCGGGACTCTTGTACACAGTCAGGAAGTTCAGGGGGAGCCAAGAGCTCCAGCGACGTCAGTTAGAAACCAGTTGTCTGGTCCTTCAGGCAGATGGCTCTGGGTAAAGAATACTTTACCCAGGACACTCTGCTTTCAGGAGCTAAGATAATTTAGGTTGTCTCCAATTTTTCATTATTACAGACAAAGTTATAACAAGTAGCCTCTTACACTTATCTCTGTATTTGAGCTACTATTCTTTTCCATAAGTTTTTGGAGGTAAAGCTGCAGGGCCAAAGGGATAAACTTCACTGTTTGGTGGCTATGGCCTATTTGTCCTCCAGAAATGTTATGATTCTCATCTATGGTGGGTGAGGGAGACTCTGTCCCTCTCTCTGGGAGGCTGAGTGGAGTGAGTAGGGTGTCCTGCCTGCCTCCCGGATAGAGGTGGGGAGGGGGCAGGGACAGCTCAGAGTCAGGCGTGTGTGGGTCAGGAGGGGTTGACAAGACTGGTTAATACTGAGGGGGGCCCTTGTTGCTGTTCAGTCGCCCAGTTGTGCCCAACTCTGTGACCCCGGGGACTGCAGCACACCAGGCCTCCTTGTCCCTCACTATCTCCCAGAGTTTGCCCAAGTTCATGTTCATTGCATTAGTGATGCCATCCAGCTGTCTCACCCTCTGTCACTCTCTTCTCCTTCTGCCCTCAATCTTTCCCAGCATCAGGGACTTTTCCAATGAGTCTTCTGTTCGCATCAGATGACCAAAGTACTAGGTTTGTTTCCAAGGCAAGCCATTCAACATCACAGTAATCCAAGTCTATTCCCCTACCACTGATGCTGAAGAAGCTGAAGTTGATCAGTTCTATGAAGACCTGGAAGACCTCCTAGAACTAACACCTGAAAAGAATGTTCTATTCATCATCCGGGATTGGAATGCAAAAGTAGGAAGTCAAGATATACCTGGAGTAACAGGCAAGTTTAGCCTTGGAGAACAAGATGAAAAAACAAAATGAAGGGGGGGTCCACCCAGTAAGTAAATATGCTGCAAACAGAAGACACATTTCTCACCCTCAGGGAAGGAGAGGAAGCGTGAATGCTGTGGCATTGGATTAGAATTAGAGGACTGATGTCAGTTCATGTTTTTCAATGTTTATTGATAGATATAAAAATAAATATTGAAAATAAATAAATAAATAAATATTGATGTGTGCATATATGTGTATTGTATTTAATTATGTAAAATAGAAAATTATATTTCCTAGTTGGGCTTACTGAGAGGGCCTGGGGGCAGCAACACCCCAGTAGTAATGATCATACAAGGCACCCAGATCTTTGTTTCTAACCCCAGTCTCTGCTAAAAGGAACCAGATCTCCTTGGAAAATGGCTGATTTCAGACTGATGCAGGGAAGTACATGAGGAGTCTGTAATAGCTTATTGTGCAAGAAAACACAGAAACGTTTATGATGAAGACATGGAAAGGATACAGGAGGCAGCTTGATGAGGTTCCCACTGGCCAAATCTGGGATAATTTAAACATGGTAAATAATGATAATGAAGTATTACTCATTGAATACAATTAGAAACCCTACATCCACACAGATATAAATAAAGAGTGAGAGGACAAATTTTTATCTTACAGTATAGTGCAAACTAATCAATGAAGGAATGATAGAATTAGAATTACCGTTTGGCAACCAATAATTAATTTATCTAAGAATCATAGACAAATTCTAAAATTAGTGGGTGTTTGATGAGTAATGGGATATTTACACAATCTCAAAGTACCCTCCATGAAATACAAATTAATTCCCAAAGAAAAAGTGGTAGTTTTCCAGAGGAGAACCCTGGCAGATACCACGTTAATCAAGGGAATAAAATGATCATTATCAGTAACAGGACCAATCAAAACTGGTGGCTTCCTCATAGGATGCAAAGAAAAGAACAAATCTCCCTTTCTGTGATGTTGCCACCCAAAATGTATAACCTGAATCTCTCATAAGGAAACAACATCAAGCCTTAATTGAAAGAAATCCTGCGAAAGAACTGGCCTGCGTGCTGTCACTTCAATTGTGTCTGACTCTTTGTGACCCCATGGACTGTGGCCTGCCAGGCTCCTCTGTCCATGGAATTCTCTCCAGGCAAGAATACTGGAGTGGGATCCCCTTCTCCAGGGGATCTTCTTGACCCAGGGGTCGAACCTGAGTCTCTCACATCTCCTGCATTGCAGGCAGGTTCTTTACCACTAGCACCACCTGGGAAGCCCACAAATCAATTGACCTAGAATCTTTAAAAACGCCAAGCTTATGAAGTCAAGGGATGATTGAGGAACTGCTGCAGACTGGGACAACTGGCAGAACTTGAAAATGTTTGAGTGCATGCCTCAGTGTCGGTCCTGACGTTGATGGCAAGGTTGTGGTGATGCAGGAGAGGGTCCCCATTGCCAGGAAATCAGTCAAGAATTTAGGGAGACTGAGCTTCAGGCCAGCAGCTTATTCTCAAAAGGTTCAGGATGTACCATGCTCGCAAAATTTTTCTGGAATGTATTCTGTCGTTAGAAATGCTGCATGTTCCCCAGAGTCTATAAGAATTATCTCACTTAATCCTCGCAGCAGCCACTTGATGGATGAGAGGAATGAGGCCCTGGGACTCACACAGGGCAGTGGGGGATTCAGCCAGGCCGGCACTGTCTTTTTAGGGCTTTCAGTGAGGAATGTGGTCTTTTTAGGGCTTTCAGTGAGGAATGTGGTCCGTCAGGATCAGGGCTTTGCAGGGGGAGGGAGAAGCTGGAGGAGAGAGAGCCAATGATGCCCTCCTCACAGAAATAATCCTAAAGCTTGTAGGCGCCCAGAGGACCATGCTGTCAGGTGTGATGGGTCCTATGCCCGCTTGGGGACCACATAGGGGGTAGGATCTGGTCCAGGCTCCTGGTCGGAGGCCCCTGTGTGCCCCTGGCGGGCTTTGGGCAGAGCCCAAAGGATGTGCCCTCCCATCCTGGCCCCTGCATCGGGATCAGGAGGGCAGAAGCCTCCGTACCTGGAGGCGAGGAGTGCAGAACAGGCTGGGTGCATGGCTCCTGGCAACACAGGGCCTGGTAAACTTGGGTGTGCAGCAGGGGCGACACAGTGGAAGGCATGACAGTTGGGGTGACAAAATGGCAGCGATATGGAGGGGGCCTCGGGGGCACAGCGTTTGTGACCAACTGGAGGGCATTTCTGTGCCCAGGTTTTCCTGAGCTGTCCTTGGAAGGCTTCTCACCAGACTAGCCATGACCCTAATGATGGCTTGAACAAAGGGCTTGAGCAGAGACAAGCTATCAGGTTTAAAGGAACTGCCTTTTAAAATGGAAAAAAAAAAAAAAACCAAAACAAAAAACCTAAAACTAAGATGCTTACTCCCTGGTAGAAGAGCTATGACAAACCTAGAAAGAGTATTAAAAAGCAGAGACATTACTTTGCTGACAAAGGTCTATCTAGTCAAAGCTATGGTTTTTCCAGTAGTCATGTATGCATGTGAAAGTTGGACCATAAAGAAGGCTGAGCACCGAAGAATTGATGTTTTTGAACTGTGGTACTAGAGAAAACTCTTGAGAGTCCCTTGGACTGCAAGGAGATCAAATCAGTCAATCTTAAAGGAAATCAACCCTGAATATTCATTGGAAGGACTGATGCTAAAGCTGAAACTCCAATACTTTGGCCACCTGCTTCAAAGAACTGACTCACTGTAAAAGACCCTGATGCTGGGAAAGGTTGAGACAAGAGAAGGGGATGACAGAGGATGAGATGGTTGGATGGCATCACCGACTCAATGGACAAGAGTTTGAGCAAACCCCAGGAGATGATGAAGGATAGGGAAGTCTGGTGTGCTGCAGTTCACTGGGGTCAAAAAGAGTCAGACACGCCTTAGCAACTGAACAACAAAAATAAAACCCAACGTAGCCAAATAAATAAATAAATATTTTAAAAAATAAAGTAAAATGAAAAATGCATCTGTATATATATATATATTATTATACAATGAATGAATGTTGACTGCTGAAAAAAAGTCTTTTGATCAGAAAACAAACAATTACCCTAATCTGCTCCCTGGAGATAACCACAGTCAGCTTCAGAATTGAGCACTGCTCAGTGCCTGGGATGGATCCTGTCTGCTTCGCTCCCCAGGGGCATACATGTCCCCGTTCTACAGACGAGGAGGCTGAGGTTGACGGAGTGAAGGGACTTACTTACCCAAGGTCACCGAGCTGGTCCACAGCCTCTCCTTGCCCTTGCTGCAGCTGCCCTCCCTCATTACAGAGAAGGCCCTGCCCCCTTCCTGCTGGGGGCCTGGTGCAGCGTGGGGGCTGGGATCCTCCTGGGTCCTTTGGGGCCCCGTGAGGTTGGAAACCTTTGCTGTGGCAGGGGTCCAGCCTGACTGAAGTGGTTATGCCTTAATAAAGCTCTGCTGGTTGCAGCCCCCTCTTCCCGTCCTTGTTTACAGCGCTTGCACACAAACACACTTGAGAGATTTCTGGGAACTTGAGAGCTTTCACAGGAAGGCAGGATCCCAGAGAGACCACCTGAGGGTGGACAGTGACTCTGGATGGGGCCTGCCTTCAGTCCATAGCTTCTGTGTCCTTCCCTTTCACTCTCCACGAGCCCCTCTTGCCAGAAAACGAAGAGAGAAACCTCTTTATTATTTTCTGTCAGTGCCTTGGAAGGAAAATATTAAAAATCACTTCCTTTGTGTTCAGAAAATGTACCAAGTTTCTGAGACCTGCACCTACCCTGATTTATTTGAAAAACAGTTATCAAATGCTGGCTGAGTGCCTTCCTGGAAACTCTGCATCCTTTATTTCATTTAACCTCCATAATAACCTTATGAAGCAGTTCTGTTTTCATTCCCATTTTACAGATGAAGAAACTGAGGCATAGAGAGCCTAAGCATCATATCTCCAACAGCCAAAGGATGAAGATAAAACAACTCGTGTCCCTGGAAATGCATCTAACAGTCTCTGAGCTGGGACCACGCATTATAACCCCTTGGAAGGCACCAAGATCTAACCAGGGAACATTTGCATTTTTACCAAAAGTTCCAGAGTGAACTGGGTACCAACACTCTGGAGAAAGGTACTCAGTGGCCTGGCTTGTCCCCATGGAACAACTGTCCCTGGGCTAGAGGTGCCATGCTAGCCCATGGCAGCTGGCACCCCAAGGAGTTCAGAGCCTTAGAGAACCCTGATGCACCCAGGCAGCTCTTGGAGAAAACTCGTAGCCCAGTGAGGGAAAGGTAAATGGGCTTCAGAAGGGGAACCAAGACTTTGTGGGTGGCGCTAGTGGTAAAGAACCCGCCTGCCAATGCAGGAAACATAAGAAATGCAGATTCGATCCCTGGCTTGGGAAGATCCCCTGGAGAAGGGCATGGCTACCCACTCCAGTATTCTTGCCTGGAGAATCCCATGGACAGAGGAGCCTGGTGGGCTCCAGTCCATGGGGTTGCAAAGAGTCGGACATGACTGAAGCAACTTAGCAGGCCCACCCGGAAGATTCCACATGCTGTGGGGCAACTAATGCCACAACCAGAGAAGCCAGTGAGCTGCAACTAAGGCCTGACATGGCCAAATAAATAATAAATAAATAAATATATTTTTTAAAAAGGAGGGGAACTATGTCAAACATGTTTATACAAATCTAGTCTCTAAGAGGGTAAATATACATATGAACTTTTCTTTTAAGCCTAGACTCTTAAAATTTGACCTGCTTTAAAAACGGGAGAGCCAGGCTTAGAACTGTAGAATAAAAGGGAAAGTTTAACTCAGATAAACTTAGAGTCAAATCCCAGCTCTAGTGCTTAGCTGGGGGACCTTGGGGAAGTTATTTAACATCGTGGGCTCCCTGCTTCCACATGTTAAAAGTCAATTTGCTATAATCTCCACCTCAAGGCAGCTGGGAGGAGAACTGACATTCTCTTCTTGAGGGCAGGCTGTTTATAAGTCTGCTATTTTTGAGTCCAAATGGACTAATAAAAAGGGTTAAACTTTCAGTTCCCAGATGTGCTTCCCTCAAATAGGAGTGTGACCTGTGCTTCCTACTTTAAATAACTGGAATCTCTTATCTTCTTGGCAGACACATATTCTCCTGGGCATCGTTTTCCAAAAAGGTTTCGTCGACACTGGGACAAGCCACTCAGATCCAGCACCAGGCTCTTCTGGGCTGCCAGCCCGTCTCTCATGCTGGTGCATTTGAAGAGCCCTTGAACCCCTGGCTGGCAGATAGTAGTGGCAGTGTTAGTTGCTCAGTCGTGTCCGACTCTTTGCAACCCCACAGACTGTAGCCCACCAGGCTCCTCTATCCATGGGCAAGAATACTAGAGTGCGTTGCCATTTCCTTCTCCAGGGGATCTTCCCGACCCAGGGATTGAACCCAAGTCTCCTGAGTCTCCTGCATTGGCAGGCGGATTCTTGAGCTCCCTGGGAAGCCCTGGCTGGCAGATTTGTTGTTTGGTTGCTAGGTCGCCTCTGACTCTTTGCGACCCCATGGACTGTAGCCTGCCAGGCTCCTCTGTCCGTGGGATTATCCTGGCAGGAATACTGGAGTAGGTTGCCATTTCCTTACTTGTGTGCTGTTTGGCTGCTTGGCATCTGTGCTGTCTGCCAGGAGCTATGGCTGCCCCATTGAGTGGGGAATCCTCCTTCCTCCACTGCAGAGGGCCTGAAGGCTCCCCTTCCCAAACAGTGAGAGTGCTGGGTTAGGATTCAACTTCACAGCATCCAGCATGTCACCTTGGGCAGGGGTCCATCAAGTGCCTCAAAGTAGGGACGGCGTCCTGGCCTGGGGCTCATGTTGCCACACCACCAGCTCTTTCAGCTGCAAGGGGTCTTCAGGAAATCCTGATCTTCAGGAAATCCTGCTTAAGTTAGCCAGAGCCAGTTTTGATATTTGCAAACCAAGATCCTCACCTGGCACAGGAGCCCACATCACTTGCTACAAGAATTTATATTTTCACCAAAAAAAGTACAGTACTTACACTACCATGAGTCATGGTTAATCCAAGAGAACTTTATTTTTATTTGTTTAGAGATTTGGACGTGGAGCAATAGTTTACCATCGACTGCTGTCATTCTTCACTGTAGTTTTAAAGAAGAACTGTAAATGATGGTGCTATCCAAGTCAAATAAACACATGCCTGCCTCATAGTGAAGTTGTAGCTCTCTGTTATATGTATATTTTAATCAGTTTTCAACATTTTGTGAATGTTGACTACCTGAAGTTCAATTTTAGATGTGCTATTAACATTTTGTTGGATTCAGAGTTCCTTGAAAGTTTCATGTGTAAACATATAAAATAAAAATTAAAGCTTTGTTTCATTAAAAAAAAAAAAAGAATTTCAGTCACAGAATCTTCTAGCATCCTGCCTTGAGGTGCTGACTCCTGGCCATCTTTGACGTTGCGATAATCGTGCCCACACTGATGCCAAACTCCCCACCACATGCTCTCAGCGCCCTGTGTTCTGTGCGCTTCCCCATGTCTAATGACTGCTGGTGGCTACACCCAGCACTTCTCAGTCACCTTGTGATGGACTTAGAAATATTCACCCACATGCATGAACAACTGTCACTTTTTCACTCCTTCTGGGTTCTTTCATTTATTTTCTCCAACTTAATGCTATTTCTTTTGTCGTCCTGAGCCTTTTTTTTGTTTTTGGCACTTGACTATTTACTAGTCTGCCTTGGCAATGGCAATAATTGGGAAGAAAGGTAAAGCGGTTATCAGACCAGCTAGAAGTGGTCCGCTTTCTATAATCACAGTGCTGAGTGGCAAGATGTTACTCCTGGCAGGCTGACTGTTCCCTCAATCCTCACCCCTTGGTACACCACTGCCTCTGGGAAGACAGTCCCATGGAACTGATATTCATGGAACACGTTGAAACTGAACCAGAACTGAAGTATTAAGTGGTAAAGGTTTGCGACTGACGCTCATACAGTCCAGAAAAATTGCACACACACGTCCACACACAGGGCTTCCCTGGTGGCTCAGATGGTAAAGAATCCATCTGCAATGCGGGAGACCTGGGCTTAGTCCCTGGGTTGGGAAGATCTCCTGGAGGAGGGCATGGCGACCCATTCCACTATTCTTGTCTGGAGAATCCCCATGGACAGAGGAGCCTGGCAGGCTACAGTTGATGGGGTTGCAAAGAGTCAGACAGGACTGAGCGACTAAGCACACAGACGCACATACAAACACACACAGAGAAAAGGATTCAAGAGATGTAAAATTTTAACCATTGGTGAATCAGCGTGGAGGATGTATAGGAATTCTTGATTCTATTCTTTCAACTTGTCTGTAAGTGTGAAATTGTGCCAATATTAAAAGCTAAAAGGGAGAGACTTCCCTGGTGGTCCAGTGGTTAAGACTCCACTTGCCAATGGAGGGGACAATGGTTTGATCCCTGGTCCGGAAAGTTCCCACATTCTGCAGAGCCTGACGGAGAAGGAAATGGCAACCCACTCCAGTGTTCTTGCCTGAAGAATCCCAGGGATGGTGGAGCCTGGTGGGCTGCTGTCTATGGGGTCGCAGAGTCGGACATGACTGAAGCGACTTAGCAGCAGCAGAGCCTGAGAATCGCAGCTACTGAAACTTGAGCACTCCAGGGCCCTTACTCTACAACAACAGAAGCCACTGCAATGAGAAGCCTGTGCTCCGCCACAGAGGAGCCTCCGCCGGCCACAACTAGAGAAAGCCTGCACAGCAACGAGGACCCAGCACGGCCATACATAAATAAATAGAACCTAAAAGGAAAAGCAAAAACTCTAACGTAGACACAATAAACCATGGTGAACTCGTGAATTCCCAAGTCTGACTTCATCTACTGGCGGGGCTTTGGTTCTGAACTAACCGTGGGCAGTCCTAAAAGGGACAATCTTAGGAGTGGTCTGTTTACTGCCTCTGAACGTGGTGTGTCAGCTAGGAAGGTGTGTGGCACGCATGCACACACGCACCCTGAGGAGGCATGAGGGACACACAGGCTCAGGATGAGAGAGGTCCAGGCTTTTTTCTGGTCCTCTCGCTGTGTGACCGTGGCCACCGGTGGAGGTTGAGGCTTGGGGCACCGGACACGCGCTGGGGGAGGAGATGGGTGACCCTCCGGGTTTCAGTTCTTTGGGGACCTGACAGACTGGGGTAGCTCAGAAACCATTTGCATGGCCCTTGGGTGGCAAAGGCCAGACGGCCTCAAGCGGGCCTCTCCCATGGGCAGGAGAGGTCTCCGAGGTCCAGCTGCAGGGCCCAGCCTGCTTGAGCTGTGGTCATGCTCCCCCGTTTCGTCTTCTCCTTCCCTCCCGCTGGGGCCAGCTCTCCAGCCACAGCTGTCTGGGGACCTGTCCCTCCCAACCGGCAGAATGATGCACCCCCAGCCCTGATCGCTGGCAGTTTTCCAGCATCTCCCAGAGAATTCTGAGCAGAGTTATGAACACCATTTCTTGAGTGGCTCAGTCCTAAGTGTTTTAACCCATGTAATTGAGCTTAATGGGCTTCCCTGGTGGCTCAGAGGGTAAAGAATCTGCCTGCAGTGTGGGAGACCTGGGTTCAATTCCTGGGTAGGGAAGACCCCTTGGAGAAGAGCAGGGCAACCCACTCCAGTATTCTTGCCTGGAGCATCCCATGGCCAGAGGAGCCTGGTGGGCTATGGTCCATGGGGTCGCAGAAGAGTGGGACACGACTAAGCAACTAAACAACTCTGGCAGAGAGCCCAGGTGGACGGGGTGGGGGATTAGGTGGGGCATTCTTCCAGGCCCCACTGTTCCCGGCCTTCTTTTACCCTCTCGTTTCATGAGAGTGAATCAGTTTCTGTGAGAGGAGTCAGGCCTGGCAGTGTACGGAGTGTGGGTAACCACTCGACCCACACGGCCTCCTGAGATGCATCCCAGACTCCATCACGGGGCCCAGACCTCTCCTCTCTCCCGGCCATGGCCTACTCAGGCCCAGCTGAGCAAACCAGATGGAAAAGGCTCTAACCTGAGGAGATACCCAGCTGAGCCTGGACTGTCCTGCTGCGACATTTGCTCTTCCCAGCTCTCCATGTTTACTGAGCCTGATTACTGGTGGCTCCTGGGCTGTCCTCACTGGCTGGGCTTCAGAATGGCCCCTCCGTCCGGTCCAGGACCTCAGGGTCCCCAGGCTCACCTCACCCTCCTTGTCTCATCCCCAGGGGGCAGTAAAGCAGGGTGGAGGTGGGGGTTTCTGGGCCTCAGGCCCAGTTAGCCCTTGGATGGATCAGAACCTGGGAGGCGGGCCCACCAGCTCCTGGAGGTCCCAGTGGCACTCCTCTGGCAGAACTGCTGTTGTGTGGAGTTGGGCCCTTAGCACCCAAGCCTTGGTAGATGTCTACCATCCAAGCTCCTGAGACTGAGATACACACCCAGAAAACCTGGCATCCATTTAGGCCAGGCCTCAGCCCCGCGGCAGTCCCAGAAAGACAAGGCCCTGGGGAAGCCATCTCAGGACGGGGTAGGAGGCAGTGGATGTCAGGGGGTTCTGATGGGACACGTTGTCATGGAGGTCTCGAGCTCTGGCCCAGAGGCTGCGACACCCAGGGCCCTCTGGACAATGTTACAGCCATGGTGGCCACTGGGCCTCTCCTTTTGGAAGGCAACCTTTTAGCCTCACGTGGTCTTTGATGGCTGCTAATGCTGTGAATGGTGGGGCAGCAAAAGATGAGATGGTTAGATAGCATCACTGACTCAATGGACACGAATTTGAGCAAACTCCAGGAGATAGTGGAGGACAGAGGAGCCTGGCGTGCTGCAGTTCATGGGGTGGCAAAGAGTCAAACATGACTCAGCGAATGAACAACAACAATGCTATGAATGACGCAGCCAGTTGTAGGAATTCCTAATGGGTTGGAGCCATTCTGCCTCTCTAAGGCAGAAATAGGGCTTCCCAGGTGGCACCAGTGGTAAAGAACCCACCTGCCAATGCAGGTAGATGTAAGAGATGCGTGTTCAATTCCCGGATGGGGAAGATCCCCTGGAGGAGGGTGTGGCAACCCATTCCAGTATTCTTTCCTGAAGAATCCCATGGACAGAGGAGCCTGGCAGGCTACATAGTCCATGGGGTTGCACAGAGTCAGACATGACCGAGTGACTTAGCATGCACACACATAAGGCAGAGATAAGGTCCTTCCCCATCCTTTTCTGGGCTCTGAGCACCTCCAGGGGGTCCACAGTGGGTTTCAGGCTGCTCAGAGTCTGAGTGAAGTGGTGGTAGTTGTGTGTGCGAGTGTGTTCCAGTAAGGGGGTAGGGGTCGACAAAGCTCATCGCATGCTAAGTGCTGTCTGTGACCCCATGGTGGGTTGTTCCTAGTGATGCCCTCCGCCCCTCATTGCTCATCTGATGTGACCGCAGCCCCGATCATGAAGGCACCAGCCAGGCTCACACATCTGAGCCTGAGTAGCTAACTGTCAGGGATACGCCAGAATCCTTTCTCTGGGGGACATGGGGACCCTGTGTCTCTTTGCTGCCCGCAATCTCCCTGAGCCTGGGGCTGTGTTTACGTGTGGAGTTCCTGGGAAGACAGCCTAGGGGACAGGGTCTAACTCCCAGTATCCAAGGCCAGATGGTGATTCATGGGGAGGAGGTGGGGGCAGAGAGAGTCTAAGGGTAGAATGTCTTGCCTCCAGTTGTCATTAAGTAGAGATAATCGCACTCAAATCCCACCGACGTTCTTGAGTGCTGGCCGTGTGCCAGCCCCGTGCAAAATCTTCACCATCATGTCTCACGTCGGGCACACAAGTGTGACAAGGATGGTACAGAGGGTCTGTGTCTCTTCCCCTCACACAGCTCAGAGCCTTCCTGGGGCCTGGGGCTTTGTGCTTAACCCTTCCCGGTGCTCCTCACACTGTGGTTCTGGGGCCGGGGTTCCTCTGGGTCAAGTCTGAGGATTTCTGGATCTCACCCAAACTAAGGAAATCAGACCCTGGGAAGAGGCCCAGGAGCCAGCATTTCCGCCTGTGAGATCCATGTTGCAAAACTCCCGAGCGAGTTCCTTCAGCTAAGGAGCTGGCTGGAGGAGGCGGGCTGAGCCCAGAAGGTGCTCCTGGCTGGTTTTACCAGTGCTCAGTTTGAAGGAGCAGGAGGAGACCCCGGGATCCACGGCTCTTCCCACTCTCTCTTCCCACGTTCTCTCCCTCCCGTGGACACCCTGTGGTAGGGTGAGAGGAGCAGGCGGAACATCTGAATGGCTGAGAGCTAGTTGGGGTATCTGGGGTGGGAGTATATGGTGATGGGGGTGTGGGCTGGTGCGCCAGGGTAGGGGGACCAGGAAGGCAAGTGGGGGTAGGGAGGTCCAATACCAGGCTAGACTTCGGTGTTCTTATTCAGAAGGGAGTGCTGGGCCCTATAGAAGGTTTTCAGGGAGTGGAATGCCATTGTGGGGGGTTCAGGAAAATGGCTGGGCTGTGGGGGGCCACACTAGAGGGACAGTGGAGGTTCCTACAGCAGTCCTGGGGGAGGGGGCACAGCCAGGACCTGGACTTAGGGACTGAGAGGACCCGAAGGCAGAGGGGGTCAAGGCGGAGGGGGTGGAGACTGCTGTCCAGAGACTAAGATAGACAGAAGGGGAGGAATCCCACATGAAGCCTAGGAGCCTGAGATGAGACCCTTTGGGGCTTGTTGATTTGGAGGGGCTGGTGGGATGTCCTTGGGGGTAGGTTTGAAAGGCAGGGTTGAAAAAAAAAAAGGCAGGGCTGGAGAAGGTGTGATCTGGAGGGACACCATAAGAAGGTGTCATGCGAAGAGTCAGCATGCTGGAACATGGGGACAGAGATGTGAGACCCTGATCACTCCAGTGGCATCTCTCAGAGGCTCAGTTTGCTCATCTGTAAAATGGGTTGCTGTGAGGGTTCCGGTGTTCCTGGAAGCGCCTCCCATCAAACACTTGGAAAGACAATCGCTATGGTTTGGGGGATCCGGGGGCCCCCAGATAAGTGTGTCCGGGTTCAGTCGTTGAGGGGGGCTGAGCTGGGCTGAGGGGACGCCACTGCCCCCTGTTGGCTCTCCGGGCCAGAGCACCCCTGGCCCCCGACGGGCGGGGCGACCGGCGGGCTGCTAGCTGGCAGGCAGCCTCCAGACGGCCAGTCGGCCCGCTCTGGCGCCGCGTCCGTCCGTCGATCATTGTGAGGACGCCAGGCCCGCGCTAGGCGCGTGGGCTCCCGGCCCCTGGGATCTCGCAGGGCGCAGGCGGCATGGTAGGTGTGCGGGATGTGGGCGCGGTGGGGAGGGCGCGCCCGCAGGGTCGCCCCAGAGCGGTAGGGATCGCCGGGCCAGTGGAGACGCGTCCCGCCCCCACCCCGCTCTCCGGAGGTCTCGCAGCCTCCTTGAGTATACCTGTCTTTTCGCTGGCCTTGAGCGCCGCGAGGCATGGGGGCTCCGGTGCGGCGACCTTTCCCCGGGTTCGTAGGAGACTCTCTCTCGAACCCGGGTCGGCGCCTGCGCGTTCGCAACTCATCGCCGCGGTCCCGGCTTAGCTCTCACAGCAACCCGGGTAGGGAAGGCGGGGGCGGCAGGGGCGGGAGGAACTTTTGAGGGGATAAAGATGCCTCTCCATCCCCAAATGCGGGGATTCGGTGTCAGAGAGGCAGGAAGGCTGGGGGAGGCTTCTGGGTGGAGGCTTTGGTGAGAAGATACTCGGGATGAAGAATACTTGGGATCCAGGGGAGAGAAGGACCTGAAAAAGAAAGTTGAACGGTGGGTACACAGGTACGTGGGCAAGGGGAGCCCCGAACCCGCATCTGAGGAGAGGAAATGGAGCTGGAGTGAGGATCCAGGGAGAGGATCCAGAAACCAAGCCGGAAAATCGGCGGTTGCTCAGAAGGGAGAGGAGGTGGTGGTGGCCGGTTTGAGGAACAGGCTCAGGTGGGCAGCTCCCGGTCTTTCACATCAAGCCACAGGACCAGAGGAATTCCGTTCAGCCCTTGCCCCATGTCCCCTAGACTGTCCTTCATTTGCTGGGTGAGAAGTAAGGATCATGTCACTATGCATTGGAGTTGAGCACCTGAAATTTATCAGGCACATTCCTGAGAACTTAATTCTCTCATTTACTCTTCCCAGAAATTAGCTAGGAGGTAGGCTGTATCTACTTACCCATTTTACAGATGAGGAGACTGAGGTACAGTGAGGGCCTGTCACAGAAGAGGATGGCGGACCTGGCACTTGACCCCAGGCCAATCTGTTTAGCTTCATAGCAAGCACTAATTTTCGGATCAGCATTATAGTTTTGGGCCCTTTCACTCCCTTGCTTGATCCCCAGTGACCCAGTTCTCCCAGCAAGTTCATGTAATCAGGCCCTTTTGTGTGTCAGGCAAAGGGTGTGTTAATACCTTTCATGGATTAAATTTCTGGATCCTTGTAATAAGGGAACAGCCACAGAGAGGTTACTGTGCAAATGGTCCCACAGTTTGAAACTGGTGAGGCTGGATTTGAATCCAAGCAGGTGTTTCCAGAACCCTTCCTTGCTCTTCAGGACCAAGTGATACTGTGTACTGTGCCCATTTTACAGGTGCCCAAACTGAGTGTCTCTCCCAAAGTCCATGGCTTGGAAGGCAAGAGACTGAAAGGGACTGCTGATGGCATAGCGCATGCTTGAGAGTTTCCATCACTAACCAAAGGTTTCAGTAGCTTGTGCAATTAAAAATTGAAGTCCCAGGGCTTCGCTGGTTGTCCAGTGGCTAAGAATCCACTTGCCAGTGCAAGGGACCCAGGTTTGACCCCTGGTCTGGGAGGTTCCCACATGCTGCAGAGCGACTAAGCCCATGCACCACAACTGCTGAGTCTACCAGACACAATTACTGAAGCCCACTCACCCAGAGTCTGTGCTGGGCAACAAGAGAAGCCACTGCAATGAGAAGCCTGAGCACTGCAACAAAGAGTGGCCCCCGCTCCCTGAAACTAACAGAAAGCCCATTGCACAGCAGTGAAGACCCGGCATGGTCAAAAGAAAATAAATCTTTAAAAAATTGAAGTCCCACTTAAAAAAAATCATTTTTAAGATGTATATTTTGGGGGGACTTCTTAAAAAATTTTTATTTATTTGGCTGCATTGAGTCTTAGTTGCAGCACTCAGGATTTTTGTTGCTACATACAGAATCTAGTTCCCTGAGTAGCGATGGAACCTGGGCCCCCTGCATTGGAAGCACAGAGTGTCAGCCATAGGATCACCAGGGAAGTCCCTAAGATGTACATTTTTAAGAAGAAATTGTGATGGGTCTTACAATGGATGGCAGAGTTTTCCTTTCTCTGTGGCACAAAAAATAATGGCCCTCGTGGTGTCAATGGCACTTTTAGCTGGAATTAGGATAGAGCCAGATTGCTTGAGTGATTTTCTGGGTGTCTCTCTCTTCCATTTCACAGGTTCCTCTCTGTTTCAACTGCTCCATCCTCCCTGGAGACAGGTCCCTGGGTGCAAGGAGCCCGGTGCCCTGCAATGGCAGCAGGGCTCTGGGACCCTTTGACCCCCAAGACCTGAACCTGACGGATGAGGAGCTCAGGCTCAAGTACCTGGGGCCCCAGCAGACGGAGCTGTTCGTGCCCATCTGTGTCACCTACCTGCTGATCTTCGCGGTGGGCACGGTGGGCAATGCGCTGACCTGCACGGTCATCCTGCGCCACAGGCCCATGCGCACACCCACCAACTACTACCTCTTCAGCCTGGCTGTGTCGGACCTGCTGGTGCTGCTTGTGGGCCTGCCCTTGGAGCTCTACGAGATGCAGAACAACTACCCGTTCTTGTTGGGCGCCGGTGGCTGCTACTTCCGCACGCTGCTCTTTGAGACCGTCTGCCTGGCCTCGGTGCTCAACGTCACCGCCCTGAGCGTCGAGCGCTACGTGGCCGTGGTGCACCCGCTGCGGGCCAGGTCGGTGGTGACGCACGCCCACGTGCGCCGCGTGCTTGCGGCCATCTGGGGCCTCGCGGTGCTCTGCTCTCTGCCCAACACCAGCCTGCACGGCATCCAGCAGCTAGATGTGCCCTGCCGGGGCCTGGTGCCCGGCTCGGCCGTGTGCACCCTGGTGCGCCCAAGAGCCATCTACAACCTGGTGGTGCAGGCCACCGCACTGCTCTTCTTCTGCCTGCCCATGGCCATCATCAGCGTGCTCTACCTGCTCATCGGCCTGAGGCTGCGGCGTGAGAGGCAGCTGATCCTCAGACAGGAGGCCAAGGGCAGGGCCAGGACAAGCGACAGCCGCAGGCTCCAGGATCGGGGTCGGACACAGGTGACCAAGATGCTGTGTAAGTGTTGCTGCTGAGAAAGGGGGCTGAGCCATGTGCTAGGCATGGAGCTGGGGGTTTCCAGGGCCTGGCAGAAGGGGCTGAATGTCTGGGTTTATGATGGGGGCTTAGCGTGAGGGGGAGTAACCCCACTCCCCACCCTCGTGTGCGCATGCACATATGTGCATACTCTTTAGATTAACTCGTGAGAAATTGACACGAAAGATAAATGTAAATGGTTCATAGCAGGGTCGGCTGCATTATCTGTGGAGCCCAATGCAAAATGAAAATTCAGGGTCCCTTGTTAAAAAAATGATTAAGAACCTTAAGACAACAAGAGTAGAGCTGCTGTCTTGACCGTTTTAAGGTCAAGACTTGGTGCAAACGCACAGGTATCACCATGAAGCCGGCTCGTGGAAACAAACGCAGACAGAAGCTGGGCTCCAGGATGATGGAACTGTTCGTGGGCTCTGGACCCCCCAGGTCTCTCATCTTTGCTCCCAAATATGTCTTGGTTCTGTCCTTCCCTGAGCATCCTGGGGGCATGACCTCAGACAGAGTTCTCCTTTTCTGCGGAATTAACTGTCCTCTTCCCTTAGTGGCAGTTGAAAATCCCAGGGAAGGATTCTCATTGGTGGGCTCAGGTCATGGCCTGCCACGGGGCCAGAGTGGCAGGATGCTGAGGTGAGCAGCCCCCACAGATCCACATGGTGGGATCCAGGGGAGCAAAATTCCCAAAAGAAGGGGAGCGGGGTGCTGGAAAGGCAAGGTGATGAATTTCCTGCATGCTATGTCTGCGGCTCATTGGGGACCACATGAGTGACCATGATCTAAAAGAGGTCATGGTACTTCCTTGTGGCCAGTGGTTAGGACTCTGCACTCCCAATGCTGGGAGTGCAAGTTTGATCCCTGGTCTGGGAACTAAGATCCCGCATGCTACACGGTATGGCCAAAAAAAGAAAGAATGAGAGAAAAAAGAGGTCATTAGAGGCATGTTTGTGAGGGTCTATGTGATCAGGACAAAAGTAGGGGCTGCGGCTGGCTAGGGCACACTCAGCTGGCTTGAGCCTCTGGATCTTACTGTGGCCCTATGCATGCTAAGTTGCTTCAGTCATGTCCAACTCTGTGCGACCCTATGGCCTGTAGCCTCTCAGGCTCCTCTGTCCATGGGATTCTCCAGGCAAGAGTACTGGAGTGGGTGACCATTCCCTCCTTCAGGACCTAACAGCTTCTGCACACTTCAATAACACAAGACTCCTAAACAAATAGTTAATACCATTCCCCTAAGTTGTGGGGATTAATCGATCTAACAGTTGTGTACCAATCGGATGGCCCTAGACCTAGCACTTTCTCATAAACAGTGGTCCTGAGGAAACCAGGCAGACTGATGCTAACCCAGTCCTTGATACCCTCCCCCACCCCGCCCAGTCCCTCAGGGTCTGAATCAGGTAGGTGGGGTGGGCCAGGGCAGGATGGGGCTGGTGAGACCTTGGTCAAAGCCAAGGGATTTTAGCCAGCTAACTGGGGACTGCCCTGCTCCCAGAGAGGGACTCACTCCTCTCACCCCCCAGAACAGTGTCCCAAAGCCCACGGTCACTTGTACCGCCCCCTAAGGTGGGACCGACCTGGAGTTCTGTACTCATCCCCTGCGCTAGAGACCACCTGCCCCTGCTACCTCCCACCTCCCTGCCCACTGGGGCAGAGTCTCTGCCTCTGGGGTGGCTTTTGCCCTGGAAAAGTGGGGTGTTTCCTTAAGGCTGCCTTACTTTCTGGCCTGGGGCTCTGGCTTTCTTCTCTGCCTCCTGTTTTCACTTTCTGAGGACCTACTATGCACCAGGCCGTGTGCTGGGGATGTTGTAAGCCATGTTTTGATTGGCAGGCCACACTGGGCCGTAAGTGGGGAAAGACTGCAGGGGAAGGATTGTGAGTTGGAGAAGCAAACACAAGAAACAAGGGACAGAAATCAAGGCAGATCTGATGGCAGAGATCCAAGGAAGGGCAGGATTAAAACCAGGGCTGGAGGGAAGCTCCGGAGAAAGAGTGAAGGCTTGGCTGGCCTCTCCTGCCTTTTTTCTGGGGGTGGGATGGGGGCTGTCAAAGAAAGGGGAGTGCATGCAGGAGGGACACTGAGCTGAGCCCAGGAGAACTGGGGGCTGGGGCTGCGAAGGCTTCTAGAGCCAAGGCAGGCGTGTGTGTGTGTGTATGTGTGTGTGTGTGTGTGTGTGTATGGGGGCTGGTGTTCATGTCCGTGTGTGTGTGTGCGCGCCAAGGCAGGCAAGTGTGTGTGTGTGTGTGTGTATGTGTGTGTGTGTGTGTATGTATGGGGGCTGGTGTTCATGTCCCTTTCCTTCCATGACCTCCCCGTCTACTGTCCTCTGACCACAGGCCCCATTCTCCTGCTTCTCCCTGCAAATGCATAAGCAGGCATGGCCCCCCGAGTGTCACCTAAGGGGTCCTTAGCCACACACTCTGTGTCACACACTGAGTTCCAGTTCCACGCTGAGAGAACCGGGCCAGGCTAGGCTTGGCTTGGGTGCCCACGGCTGGTCAAGGGCACAGCCCACTGGCCAGTCAGCAGCAGTGGTGCGAGAGTAGCCTCTCCTAAAGGGGTGCGGCCAGGGCAGACAGACTTCCAGAAGCTTCCAGCTGGACCGTGGGCGTGGATGGCCTGTGGGAGAGGCGCGGAGGTGAGAACAGGCCCCCTCTCTGCCCGCAGTTGTGCTGGTCGTCGTGTTCGGGATCTGCTGGGCCCCGTTCCACGTCGACCGCGTTATGTGGAGCTTCGTGTCCCGCTGGACCGAGGGCCTGCTCCTGGCCTTCCAGTACGTGCACGTCGTCTCCGGAGTCTTCTTCTACCTCAGCTCGGCCGCCAACCCCGTGCTCTACAGCCTCATGTCCACCCGCTTCCGGGACAGCTTCCGGGAGGCCCTGTGCCCGGGGACCCAGTGCCGTGGCCGTAGAGCCCACCACAGCTCCTACAGCCTCAGCAGGGTGACCGTGGGCAGCACCCTGAGTGACACGGGCTCCCCGGGAAGCCAGGCCCAGCCTCTGGCCGAGAACGGTGGCCCAGGGGGCCAGTAAGGGATGCACCGCTCCTGAGAAGAGCCTCATGCTGCTTCACCCCAAGCGGCCAGAAGGTCACACCCAGCTATGGGGGGCCACACCTGCCTCTTCTGCGGGCTATCCTCTGTCCACCTGCCCCACTTCAGCCTAGTAACTGACTGGCACCTGACTACTGCCCCCACCGATGTATTGGAAGGATTATAAGGTTGCTGTCTGCTCTGCAGGCCCCCAGGCCTCCTGGTACAGCCCTGCCCTGGTAGGAACATCATGGCTGGTTAAGTGGGCATGGCAAGACTCCCATCTGGGGTTTCCCCCACCCACCCCCAGTTTCTGAAGTGTTTCCGGGGCGGCCCTTCCTTTCCTTTCCACTTCTTGCTGAGCTTCCGGTTCTGGTCCACTCTGCCCCCTCTAACTCTTGGTGCACCTGGGAACCTGGGACCTTCCTCTGACCCAACTCCTCCCTGGCCCCCACTTGACTTATTCTGCTCTGGGATTTCCACCTGGTGGAGCCACCAGGTGGCAGGTGTGCCTGGGATCCAGGAGACCTGCTTCCAATCTCAGCTGTGCTGCTACCTCCTGTGCACACCCTCCTCCCCCTGCTGTCCCTCACCCCCGCCCCAGACCCGGCATCAAGCAAATTGCCTCTCCTTACGTGCCTGGGCCCCTTATTTGCAAAACAAAAGAGGCCCTGACCCTCTGGAGCATCGCGCTTTGGCACTTCAGCTGGTTTTCTGTGTGGATGCAGAAGTCACTGCTGGTAACAGATACCCTCAGATTAACAAGGCGGAAATTACCCTTCACATCCTCACTACCTTCAACTCTTAGTCCTGCCCTGACCCCTACAAGCTCCCCACCCCACCTCCTCCAGAGCCACCCGTAGAACATTCTTTGTCCTAGAGAAAGTGAGACTTGGCACCGACCGAGGACCACGTGTGTGAGCAGAGGCCCCTGCCTGCCTCCATTCTCACCTGCTCACATGCTGGCTTGGGGGCCTGAGATGAGCAGAGCGTTGGGCCTGACTGGCCAGAGAATCTCTGGGGACAAGAGACATGGGCCACCCAAGGACAAGGGGTGCCCCGTGAGCACTGCTTGGGGCTCTGTGAAGTGAGAAGACGGTGCATGCGTGCTCAGTCATATCTGACTCTGAGACCCCATAGACTGAAGCCCACCAGGCTCCTCTATCCATGGGATTCTCCAGGCAAGATACTGGAGTGGGTTGCTGTGCCCTCCTCCAGGGGACCTTCCCGACCCAGGGATCGACTGGTGTCTCCTTCTCCTGCACTGCAGGCAAATTCTTTACTGCCGAGCCCTAGGAAAGCCCTGAGGTGAGAAGTGAGGCAGGTAAGTCCGGAAGTGAAGCTCCATCCTGAATCCCCGTGGATAGCTGGGTGCTCAGCCAGGACTCATGGCCAGTTTATGGCCAGAACTTGTCCTGCTACAGTGCCTGGCCCGTTCTCCTCCTGAGGGGGTACTGCAGCAGAAGGAATCCTGGCCTCCCTGGCGAAGGGCTGTAGGACCCCCGTGTGCTACGGGGCTCTCCCTGCAGACTCTCCCCAGCTCAGGCCCCCGGCACCCTGACTGCAAAATGGAGGAGATTGTACAAAATGTTCTGGGGTTTTTGAAATTCAATTGTAAAAACAATACTCATTTTAGAAAATTGGAAATTACAAATGAGCAAAAACGAAAACACTTTAAAGTAATTAAAAACCACCCTTGCTAGGGAATGGGGGGAGGGGGAAATAGTTGTTTAATGGGAACAGGGTTTCAGTTTGAAAGTTCTGGAGATTGGTTGCAAACCAATGTGAATAATATTGAATTATACACTTAAGTGGTTAAGATGGTAAATTGTGTATGTATTTTACTACAGTTTTTTTTTTTTTTAAGGAAGGATTAAGCCTAAAGGAAAAGAAAAAAAAGTCACCTATAGCTTTACTCTCTAGATGTAACCACCATATATAAGATAGGATGGGCAAATTTGAGACGGGAGCTTGTGTAAAGAGGCTGTACAGAGCCGTGAGGACCCAATGGCGTCTCTGAAATGAGCTCCCCGGAGGCCTTGGTTGGGGTGGTGGCCAACGCCAGACTTCAGCTGGAGCCTGCCGTTGTTCCCACAGACTTAACTGGACTCCCTGGAGCCTCTCTTAAGTGACGGTCAGAGCTGACGTGCTCCTGAGGCTTTGGTCAGTATTTGTGAAGGGCCTACTATGGGCAGAGAAGCCCTGGGCAGATGGGGGAACAGAGGGGAGGTGAGTTATCAGAAGACCTGGGCTCTTAGTGTAAATTTTAAGTATGTCTCTCGACTGTCTCCATAGCACGTCAGTGGGTAGGTCCCATTTGTCATGAGTCACTGGTTACCATGGAAAGTGGAAACAGCAGCTCTGGGCTTAGCCCTTGAGAAATGAGTGGAGGTGGAAAGGCCAGCCAGCAAGATCCCAGTCTCTCTGGGATGCAGCGTCTTCTGCAGCTTGCTCTGCTCTTCTGCATGGTCAGGGTGGTGGGGGAGGTGGGGTGCGCGGCAGCATTGCCGAGTGCCTAGTGTTACTCCCAGGAAATGAGTGCTGGCTCCTCTGGGGCTCGAGTCACCTCCTGTCCTGGCTACAGTCACACACACCCCTCCTCCTCCTTGTTCAAGAGGCTGGGCCTGCTCTGCTTCCCGTCTCCTACTCTTCTGCTGTGATCCTGGGTGATGCTGAAGCCCACATGGACAGCCCACTGAGACCCTAGCGTCCGCTCCTGGTCTTTCCTACAGCTCTGGACGCTCTTCCCCACCCCAGCCTTTTGGTCCCGTGGTCACCTCCTCACTCCCAGGACCTCCAGGAGCGTTTCAATTTCTGGAAGTGGGAGCTCTTGACCATGATTGCCTCCTTCCCTCTCTGTTGCTCTATAAGTGATAGTTACTGTTTAACTACGTCTAACCTTCCCGGTTCTCAGCTGCTCTTCTTTCTCCCAGTCCATCAGTTGCCTCTGCTCTTCACTTCCTTTCTGAGGGTCCTAGATGCCACAGTCCATCACACACAACCCTCTCTACAAATATTTCTGAAGGCCGGGGTGATCACCCTTTCCTTCTCAGAAAAAAAGATTTTCTTTGGGAACTCACCAAGATGGGTGTTATCAACAAACAAAGCTACGTTTGCCCGCCCTTCCTTCTGTTAAAAGTATCTGCTCAGGAAATATAAAGCATGCAGCACTTCACATCCACTCTTCTGTAGACAGATGGCATTTCCACATGAGTCCTGATGTCTGGGAGCCCATCTCATTTCATACACTTCTCAGTGTCTCCTTCTTCCTCATTCTTGTCTTCTAACAGATCCACCAGGCGTTCTTTGTCCCAAATCTTCCCTGTAGAGAAGAGCTGCCTTCTTAGAGGGCTCCCTAGTATTTCATTATCAACTGATTTGAGGGGAATCCCTCAGTGTGTGGCTCTTGGTGGGAGACCAAGCCCAGGCTCCTACTATTAATACAGAAACTGAAAGCGTTCTGGACACAGCATCACTGACATCACTGTGACCCATGACTTGTACTCAGGCAGCTGGATGGTCCCACGTAGGAAGCAAGTGATGCTAAGACCCACGACCTCAGGGCAGCAGTGCTAATAGCAGCATCCCATCCAGGCTGCCCCTGGGGCTCCAGTTGCCCAGCCTGCCTTGGCTTCTGCCTATTTGCTCTGCCAGGTTTTCCAAGAGCTATTGTTATGAGCTCCCAAGAGCCTTTCAATAAATTCCTTTCCTGCTTAAGTTGGTCAGAGTTGTTTGCCATTGTTTGTAACCAAGAACCTTAACAGATCCATTCACCCCCTGCTGTGAAGGGTACAGACTCTGTTCTACTAGTGGTTGTCTTTACATATTCTTAAGATAAGCAGATATTATCATTGATTGTTCTAAAACCCCAAACTGCAGTCTGTAATACTTAATATTCCTTCTATTTTTAAAACACTTTTTTTTTTAAGAGGCAAGAATGATGAGGACAGGCTTAAGGAATTTGATCCTAGAAATACATTTATGTTTTCTAAGCACTGTAGTATGCTTCTTCTGACAAAGCAATAGGGTTTAGGTGGTGAGCAAGGACTCTGGTCAGGCTGCCTGGGTTCGAATCCTGACTCAAAAGTCAGACTGGGGACTTCCGTGGTTGGTGGTCCAGTGGCTAAGACTGCTCCCCAGGCAGGGGGCCTGGGTTCAATCCTTGGTTAGGGAACAAGGTTCCACGTGCCACAACTAAAGATCCTGCATGCTGCAATGAAGACTGAAGATTCCATGTACCTCAATTAAGACCCAGTGCAATCTAATTAATTAATTAATTTTAAAAAGTCAGTCCGGCCTTAGGCCAAAGTCAGTCTGGATCGGAAGATACATTTCTAAAGAAAGGTGTGCAGCCTGCCTGCACACACATAAGAGACTCAGAGGCCAACACTGACTGATGTATCCTTCTGGTATCCGGGTCCGTAAGTCTACGAGGGTTAGTTTGAGGATGGTAGTTACTTACTACATGTCCCCTTGTGTGGCCTCTTTAAAAGTAACAGCTCAACTTCACCTTCTTTCAAGCTTCTGCACAGGCAGAGTGGGACAGTTGGTGGGCCGCTCAAGAAGAGAGGCCATGGCCAAACTGGGGGACAGTGAGGATTCGGGGAAGGCTGTACCTGGCTGGGTAAGAGTCCCCTGACTCCGGAGAGGTGGTCACAAGCTAGGACTAGACTGGAGGGCCTGGAAGCTGCTGCCACATTTTCTGGAACATCTATAAAAGTACCTGGGATCTTCATTTATTTTTTTTTTTAATCTTTGGTTTTTATGGCCATGCCTGGTAGCATGTGGGATCTTAGTTCCCCCAGGAATCGAACCTGCATCCCCTGCATTGGAAGCTTGGAGTCAGGGAAGTCCCTACCTGGGATCTTTTAATCTGACATTCAAGTACCTTCATCAGCTCTAAGCAATGTGGGCTTCATTCATTCAGCTAAGTACTTAGTACCATGTGCCAAGCACTGTATAAAGTGGGGGTGGGGAGCTGGGTGGGCATACAGGCA